TTTTAGAAATATAATAATGCAAGGCTTGGAGACAGAACAGTCCAAGACATTCCAAGTCCAAGTCCAGACAAAGCTTCTTGCTTTTAAATTCAGGACAATTCCAAGTATTTTAACATCGAGCTTATTCAAATAAAAGTTTTCCATTGAAATAAAATAACTTGCCTCCCTTAAACACATGGTAATCAATTTAGACACCAGTAAAACAACAAAGGATGTTAGCATTATCCCCACCTTTGGTTCTTAGCTTCACTTATACCTGAGCTCCTCCCTGCCATGGAGTTCCCACCATACAGCTGGCAACTCCCTCTCTCTGCCCAGACCCACCTGAACTTCCATCTACCTCACTTCCTATCCCCAGACCCTGCTGCTAGATAGTGGAGGCTGCCAAGCATTCTATGTCTGGGGCAAATATGGCTCTTCTACAAAACCTGGTCATCATCTTTCTCCTGTGTCTGCCTGTCTCTGTGTGGTCCCCTGGGATAGATGTGATGGGTCCTTTCATTGGTGGCTCTATGGGTATAGGTTTCCCGGTGGATTTGCTCCCCGCTCCACTTTGTATGGGGGCATGACCAGCTTCCACAGGACCTAGCCTGAGGTCTTACACTCCTATCGCCAGAGGACAATAAGGTAAATTTCTCCTGACCAAGCGCTCTACCTGCTGCCCAACACTGGCTAACTAAGTCCTACTTCCAGATAAGTGAATGCAGGCTTCCTGCCTCTGTAAGGGGGACTCAGCCCCCCCCCCAAAAAAAAAAAAACTTGGGCAAGTATCTTGCTGATGGCCTCCATGGCCAATGGCCTCCGTGGCCCAGGGACACCATGGAGAAATGTGACATTTCCCACTGGTTATTTCCCACTTTCTGAACCAAATTCACTGCCAGGGATGCTAGCAGTCAGATTTTGGTTCCACCATCGCTTACCATGGAAAAGGACACACAACTAAATTTCCTTACAATCAAATTTAGCTCCAAATTTAAAACTCTACTAATGTGAGAACTCAGGCAGGTAAAACTCTCTCTTAACTTCTCCCTTCCAACTGAAGGTTAAAGTATGGATGAGTTTAAGTTTAAACTCCTCCTCTGCGAGGCACCCCCATATCCCGTGGCCTCCTCTGTGAGGCACCCCCTCTTCGGCGGCCTCCCCTGCAAGGCACCCCCTCTGTAGCCTCCCCTGTGAGGCACCCTTCCCTGACCCCCTCGTCTGTGGGCCCCCTCCTCTGCCTTTGTAGTGGGGGTGGAGCCTGAAGTCCATGTGTGCCAAAAGCAATGCACCCTCACTGTTAAAATCTTCACCTCTCTTTAGCATGGACCATGTGGTGGATGTACCATCTTGGCATCATGGGAGCTCAGCTGCTATTTTCCACCAACACGATTTCACGCCAACTCAACTTGATCCTCCCCCCACTGACCTGACCAGGAGCACCATTCTATCCTGTCACATGTCTGTTCATGTCTTGTCTCCTGTTTACTAAAAGTTTGTTCCATCATAATTAGGCAAAGTAAATCCAAAAAACGTCAAACGGGTGATTTTAAAATCGAAGCACAAACATGTCTGTCAGTCTGTCAATTTGTCTATATATTACTGTTTCAAGGTTACCAACTACTCTGCTTACTAAAAATCTTTGTCAGTGGAAACTGTGGTTTAATCTAAATTGCTTTAAAATTTTGTGATCTGACTATAAGCCAAAGAAAAGTCAGTTTTAAAACTCCTTGGGAAAGGAGTTAGAAAAGATGGCTTCCTTTGCAAAGTAAATGAAATTGGAAATTAAGTTGGCTGTGGTTTATGTCAATCTTATGTCCATCTATGCTAAGATGTTGTACAATTACTTGCCAGAGTTTTCTGATAAAACCCAGTAGATGTTGTACCTCTGACCATGGCTAGCAAACTAAGGCTAAGGGTTTAATTCTCCGTTTTTTCCCCTTTGCTCCCTTAAAGATCAAAGGACCAGAGTGAAACCAGTGGCACCAGCCTGCAAAAGCCAGTGTAAACAAGGTATTTAACCAGTATATGTAGAAATTTTTGCAGGTAACCAGCGGGAGGTGTGACAGTCCATACACTCTGTATTTTTTTTTGGGGGGGTCCGGTCGTGGGGCCTGAACTCTGGGCCTGGGCACTGTCCCTCAGCTCTTCAGCTCAAGGCTAGCACTCTACCATTTGAGCCACAGTGCCACTTCCGGCTTTTTTTTTTTTTTTTTGGCTTACGTGGTACTGAAGAATCAAACCCAGGGCCTCATGCATGCAAGGCAAGCGCTCTACCACTGAGCCACCTTCCCAACCCACAGTCCATACACTCTGGCAGATGCCAAAAACTCACCCAGACTCTGGCCTTGCTTCATCACACATGACCAAAAAGCCTGATGATAATTTGGGGTAAAAAACAAGCCACCTCAAATATTTGTTTCTGCAATGTTAATCCCCACAAGTAGACCCTAAAGGGTTTATGAGCAAAGGATATAAGTTGATTTCTATGCTATTTTACAACTGGATGTATTTCTAAAGGAAAAGAGATGCTACAGTGCTAGTTCATTAAGAAAAACTGATAATTTCTTAAAGGTAACTCAGACTGCAGAAAAATTTGGCCAGTTTAAGCTTTCAGCCAAGGGGTAAAGGGTATAGCCCAATGCTTCAATGCAGCATTTAAATGCAAATTAAACTAATTTTAGAAAAAGGGATTAAAAATGGAGTCCCCTTTGTAAAAATTTCGGAAGTTGTGGGGAGTGGCTGGCCTCCCAGACAAAGAAAAGTTTAAAATTAAAATTGTCTTAAAGTTTTCTTTAAAGTCCAAAAAGACAAGTTAGGATTACCAGAAAGATTGTTTGGTAAATTCATCTGTTAAGAAAAAGTTTGAGACCTGAGATTATGTCCCTGTTGAGATCTGTCTACAGGCCTACACAGGTAGGCATTGTTGGGGCCACTAGAAATCAGGTTCCTCACCCAGCCAGAAAAATGCTTTTACAAACTAAAGTGTTAAACAGGATATGCTGCTGTAGCCCAAGAAAAGGTCTGTACATTTGTTACAGGTTAAATGTTGTATGTAAACCACTTTAAACAGGTTGCCCAGAGGCAGTGGGTGGTACTTTGAGCATAATCAGTCGCAGTTTAAAAACATCTACTGGGTTTTATTAGAAAACTCTGGCAAGTAATTGTTAGTCAATTGTTAACAATTTATAGGTAAACTCCATCTCATTGATCTCCTTGTTGCTTTAATTGGAAACAAAAAGGGTTTCTGTGACAAAGACTCCTTTTGTCACAGGTCAAAGCCACCATGAGCACAAAGAATCCCTCTAAAACTCCATCTCCCAGCTAATTACCACTGAGCCAGGATGGAGGCATGGCTGGAGACTCACCTCTAATGTCCGGCCGAAGGCTGGACATTGTGACTCTGAAGTGATAGAGTACTAGCCTCAAGCAGAAGTGCTCAGGGACAGTGCCCAGGCCTTGAGTCCAAGCCTGGTAAATGCCAAGTGGGACAAGCCATCCCAGCAATGGATGCTGAGACAACTGCAAGGATAAAGTCAATCCTGACAATGGAAAACCATGAAGAGGAGTAAGAAGAGATGACATCCTAAATGGAGTTGCTTCCCGTTTATCCTTTCAAAATTAATCAGAGTTGGGAGATCAAGAGAATTAGCTGCTTGCCCATACCTGTTTAATTTAACTTATTTCTTGGTGTCTGGGCTGGTGCCGACCATGCAAATGGGAAGTCAATTTTGAATCTGGTGTGAAAGTGTTGATACAGCCAAAGGAGAGTGGTGGAACTTTAATAAAGAAAGAGATGTATTTGAGACTCTGCCCAGAAGAAGATGGAAAGTGGAAAATAAACTTTTGTGTACAAAATAAAGTATGAAAAGTAAAACTCTCTTACCTGGATTGAGATCTTTAGAATTTTACATTACAAAACTCTGTGTGTTTGGAGAGGCATAGAAGAGAGATAGAGAGGAAGAGAAAGTGAGAGAGAGAGAGCAGGAGATAGTACCTAGCACTGAGGAATCCAGGTAATGATATAGAGCGGTGAAATGTCAATGTCTCTGATATCCTAGGAACTTTTGCCACAAACTCCATGATAATTTTTTTTTTAAATTTTGAATCTTCGGGCCTTGAAAATTTCTAAAAACAAAGATGGAAAATCCAAAGATCTTTGGCAAAAAGATGCAGCTTTGTGCTCAAGCTTGCACTAAATTTTACTTTGTGTTTTGGATACAGGGTGAACTGAACCAAAGGAGGAGTCTGAGTAAGAGAGCAGGATGGGAAGGAGAAAGGAACCCCACCAAGCAGGCAGCTCCAGGGAAAGGGGCCGCGGCAAACTGGCCTTTTCTCACTGGCCAATCAGGAGTCGGGTGGGCACTTGGGGCCTTAGCCACTCCCTCTGAACCTGCCAGCACACGTGTGGTGTTCTGGGACCTTTATCCCACAGTGCCAGACCTGGGGGGCACCCAGGGTCCTTCTTTCCGAATGGATTTGATTTTCTCCTTCCCATAGCCTGGCGATCATGTTCTCCCAGTTGCTCCCTCAAACGCGGCTGCGGTGTGCACTGCTTCACCAGAGGCTGCCAGCTAGTTTGCCAAGCCCAGGACGAGGGCCTCCACCGGCTCCGTGCGGGTGCTGGCTCGGGAGCTCTGCCCTCCACAGCCTCCGCGGCCCTGCTGGCCCAGCGAGCTCCTGGCTCCGGGCTGACTCAGAGCCTCTGGCTCTGGCCCGCTGCGCTTTGCGATCAGCACCTTTCAAAACACAGAAAATGGGATCCATCACCTAATTCTCCAGGGAGTCGGAGCGCTGCAGGGCCCCGCCGCCGCCGGCCCCGCTCCTCCCACACCCCACCCCCGCCCGGGCTCCGACGGCCTCCCGGAGCCACACCGCCTGCCCCCACCCCACCCCCTCAGGCAGACAAAGGCCCGGGCGAGATCTCCGTCCGGCCTCCCAGAGCTCCGGGCCGGCGGCTTGCTCGCAGCGGATTCCGCAGGAGGCGCGCGCTGGGCGCGGAGTTCGGCCCCGAGCGTGGTATGGGGAAGATTCGGGGGACGCGCCTGACCCACTGGTGCTGCTGCTGCCTCCTCTACCAGCTGGGGCTCCCGTGGAACGGCGTCGCTTCAGGTAAGCGGGCGCACGACCTCCCGGCGCTCCTCCAGCTCCGGGGCGAGGGCCGACGTAGGTGGAGCCCGTGAACCCGGAGATGCGAGCCTAGCCCGGGGCGGCTGGCGCTCCGTTCGCAGGCTTCGAGAAAGTAATCGCGCGCAGCAGGGACGCGCAGACTTGCCAGCCCCATTTCAAGCGTCTGAGGTGCAGCCGGTTTTCCTCCGCGCGCCGGCGGCCTCGGAGGCGCGCTGGGAGGTGTGCGTTGGTGTCCGTTCGTTCACTCAGCTGCCCACCTGCCTGGCTCCCTCCAGCCGCACAGCAAAGGACTTTTATGTTGAAAATGCGGGCTCTGTAACCCGCTCTCGAGGCGTCCGGATGGCCAGTGCTGCGGAGGTTGGGCGGGCGGCGTGGGGTACGCCCGGGGAGCGCCCGGTGCGCGGCTGCGGAGCGCGCGCCTCACGCCGCACTTCTCTGTCCGCCTGCCCGCAGGGCTGCAGCCCGTCCCCAGCCCGGACGAGTGGGAAGTCGTGTTTCCTGCGCTCTGGCGCCGGGAGCCGGGGAGTGCCGCGGGAGGTCGCGCGGGCTCCGGCGGCGGCGGCGGCGGGATCCGCACAGCTGGGTCCTCCCGCGAGGCACGCTCCGCGGCCCCCGTGCCGCCCGAGTTGCCCCGGCCTTCCTCGCCGCTGGCTTCGGAGGAGGATGACGAGCTCGAGTCGCGGGAGCTCCCCCGGGGGTCCAGCGGCCCGGCTTCCCCGTTCTCGGGTGTCCCGGCCTCACCGCCGCCGCCGCCCCCTCGGCCGTCCCCGTCCCCACCCCCGGCCCGGCTAGAGGAACCTGACAGCGACGAGGTGCTGCTGCGGATCCCGGCCTTGTCCCGGGACCTCTACCTGCTGCTTCGGAGAGACGGACGATTCCTGGCGCCGCGCTTCGCCGAGGAGCAGTGGCCGAGCTCAGGCCGTACAGCGGCCGCCCCACCCCCTCCCGCGCCGCCCAGCGCCTCCTGCTTCTACTCCGGGGTCGTGCTGCGCAACCCGGGCTCGCTGGCCTCCTTCAGCACCTGCGGCGGTGGCCTGGTAAGAACCTCTTTCCTCAGCCCCGCCTTCCAGGCTGTGCTCCTTCCTCCCAGCGCTAGGCTGGTCTGCACACACTGCTTCCCGCCTTCCAGGATGTTCGGCTGACCGCCCCCCCCCCCCCAAAAAAAAACAACAACGCACCACCTCCAGCGCTACTGAGTGAACCAGAAGCCTAGTTGAGCCTATAAATAAATACACAGGCATTTCTCTCAAATATGACATGAAATTCTCAGTTTTTCTTACTTCTTGGCACTGGTCCCACTGTTCTTTTCTCCACTCCGTTCCAGAAGCAGTGCAGTGGCTCTCCATCTTCACTTAGAAGGCCCTTTGGGAAAGTAAAAAAAAATCACTTTCTGTCAATGTGCAACATTTGATTTTTTTTTCTCCCTCCATTAAGCCAGGTTTGGAGTGAACATTACCTTCCACAAGGTGTATACTTGTGTGTGTGTGTGTGTGTGTGTGTGTGTGTTGGTTCAGAAAGTGGATAAATATACATACAATAAAAATTTAAATCATTGTTAGATGTAGAGTTCAGTGGCATTCAGTATATTCACATTGTTCCAACCATTACCACTATGGCTTTTTGTTTTTTTTTGGGTCCGGTCGTGGGGCCTGAACTCTTCAGCTCAAGGCGACCGCTCTACCACTTGAGCCACAGCGCCACTTCCGGCTTTTTTCTTTTTGCTTATGTGGTGCTGAGGAATCGAACCCAGGGCCTCATGCTTGCAAGGCGAGCGCTCTACCACTGAGCCACCTTCCCAGCCCCACCATGGCTTTTATAAATAGTTTAAAGTAAAAACTCACAAACTATGTAATATTTCTATGTAACTTTTGCTTCATGTTGCTCTTCATGAAGGGCCATTGATGAAACTCATGCAACTTACACACTAAGTGAAATATCCAACAATCAATAGTAGAAAATATCAGCAGTCACCTAAACCAATAAAATGGAGACAATGAAAAATACAAATAACTTGAAACTGGAAAATATTACCTCTGCCCATCACCCCTTAGCTCTCACAGCTACATGATCTAAATTGTTGGATAGGACTCTAGCAGATTCTCATAAACATTCAAGATTGTGCATTTTGGGGCATAAGTGAAAAAATGGGTTTTGAAAAACTGCACAACAAGTTTTAAAAATGTTTTCTGTGGAACTGATATTTGAGCACCTCATTGGGGAAAAACATTTTATGGGGCTCTCATTGTCCAATGACTTTTGGAATTGAATAGTTAAATATAGAAAGTATGGAGTGGTAAGAGCAATAGGGGGAAAAGCCTTTTACTATGCTGAAAAATGGGCTGTTGATCAGATTTTGATTTTCTAAATGAGCTATGTCCTCTTTCTATACAGGAGTGAAGGTAGAATTGTCAGTTTTTCATGTACTGGATAGGAGTTTGACATAACTCTGTGATCATAGTATGGATTTTTTGGATCACTTTTCTTATTAGCCACTCATGTATATATTCTGAACTGGGAAGTCTTTGTTATTGTTGAAAACTGATTTTGTCAGCAATACAGTATAGCAGTTTGAGTAAAAGTTTAGTAAAAGTTTGAGTAAAAGTTTGGGCAGATAGCCAAGAAATCTGGGTTTGTTACTTGTTTTGCCATGTTGCCCTTTTCACTTACAAGCTAGGGGATTAGGAGAGAGTATAACTGGTTATCTGGGATCTGGTATGAGCCTGTTTCCTGATGATGCTGAACTTTTTGCCTCTATCATATGGAAAAAATTAATTTATACATCCAATGGAAGAATAAAATGTATAAATTAAAAATGGAGGATAAAATTAGAAGTATATTGGGTGTTTATTGTATTCTAGGCCTTATATTAAAGGTAGAATTTCCTGTCGTTAGTGACTCACAGAAGAGAAGACACCTAGTCTGAGTGGTTATAAAAATGAGTCATTAGACAATGACCTGACTTCATTATGCCAGGCATAAAAGTGCTGGAACAAGAAAATGAAAAATTGAAAAACAACGATCTAGTTCTGTGACTAGATTAGATATGCACTAGAAAGAAATGATGTTACAGTGCCTTATAAAATCAAATGTCATGGGCTGGGAAGGTGGCTCAGTGGTAGAGTGCTTGCCTTGCATGCATGAGGCCCTGGGTTTGATTCCTTAGCACCACATAAGCAGAAAAAGCCGGAAGTGGCGCTGTGGCTCAAGTGGTAGAGTGCTAGCTTTGAGCTGCAGAGCTGAGGAACAGTGCTCAGGCCCAGAGTTCAGGCCCCACCACCGACAAAAGAAAAGAAAATCAAATGTCAAAAGCCTCATCTTCTAGAATATGGGAATTTTTTTTGTTTACTTGTGAGTGTTCATAAGACTTCATTACTGTTCTTCTGTGTCTTTAGAATTCCATGATACTGTAGTTCTAATGGAAGACAAAATGGTGTCTTTATAGTCTTTAGATTGGGATGAATAATTGACTGTAGCTGCCTTTGATTTGCAATAGTGCTTTTCTTCTCAGTAGAGTCATTCTGTTATCAATTGCTCAATAAGTGTTGATCACTAAGTGCCCATTCTCTCCTTGCTGTATGTAGCTAGTTTTGCTACTAACTGCTGAGCACACCTGGATTGCTGTATGTTTGAAGAAATATGAAAATATCAGTAAAATGAAACATATCTGGCTACCTAGTATGGTAAATTGACAAGCAGTTATAGGATTGGACAATTTATTCTTCACATTAGTCTAATGTGTTGTGAAAGGAAAAGGAGATAGAGTCAGGTGTTGCTCCATCAAAGTTCTTATCTTTTTGCATCTAATTTTCCTTATTTATAAAATTATAAGTTATACTCAGATGTATATCTAACCACTCCATGGGGAACCATCTGTGAGATTGGATATGCAGACAAATGTAATACTATTAGTTGTTCATGGAACAACACTGGGATGGAGGCACTTTGTAGTATTCTTTTTTTTTTTTTCCTTTTTGCTTATGTGGTGCTGAGGAATGGAACCCAGGGCCTCAGGCATGCAAGGCAAGCGCTTTACCACTGAGCCACCTTCCCAGCCCGATGGAGGCACTCTGTAGGTGAGGAAAATGCAAAAAAGAAACAAAGAAGCACTGGTATATTTCAAGGAGCTTTCACTACAACTTGCCAGTCACAAATGTAAATAGGGAGATACAAAGGATTGAGGCAGTGGAAATGTAGCCATGTTTCAGTGCTCAATGGTACAGTCTTCCTTGCTCTTCATTTCCAAGACATTGTAAGATCCCTGTTTTTTTGTGGGCACTAAGAATCACTAAGATATAAACTAACTTACTTCTTTATGTCTTTCTCTTTTTTTCTTTGTTTGTTATTGCCAGGTCTAGGCACTCTTGAGATCATGCATTTTTGCTCCTACCTAGTTGCAACTACCACTTCAGCTGTGCCTCCAGTCCATCACTTTTTCTGGTCAATTGGAGATGTTGTCTTATGAACTTTTCTGCCTGTGCTGGCTTCAAACTTCAGTCCTGCAGGTTTCAGCCCCCTGAATAGTTAGGATTATATGCATGAACTAAATTGTATTCCATGAAACAGTACAACCATATGTTTACCCCAAAGGAATAAAATAGTTAGAATACATTTAAACACTGAACTTAAGTAAAATTGGCACTTCTTTTGCCAGTGGTTAAACTGATTTCTTTTTCAGAGTAAGTAGTGGCTATTAAGTTGATAACCACTTTACTTAGTAAAAATAGGATTTTTAGCTGGGTGTGGTGGCACGTGCCTGAGTTCATAGTACTTAGGATAATGAAGCAAGAGAATAGAGAATTCAAAACTAGCCTAAGCAACATTGAGAGGATCTGCCTCAATAAACCATGACAAAAATAATATACATTGGTTAGATTTAGCTTTTGACACGAAATATAACAAATCTGTATCCCCGAGTTCCTTTATAAGAATGGTTTAAAAATTATCTTGAAGTAGATGAACAAAGGATTTTCAATTCAACATATCATTTATGTATTTAGTGAATCTTGATTAATATTGCCCCTACCATAGTTCTCCATCTCTCCCACCATCCCCTTCAGTTACCTTTTCATATGTATTCAGTGAATATTTACTGTATTTAATGTATTTACCCATGCTTCCTCTCTCTACTTGGATGAAAAAATTTGAAAGTATTACATACTATAGCAACTTTTGAGCAAGATATATATATATATATATGTAAAATTTTGAACAAGTCATATATAATGTATATTTATATACTACATAATATATACCTTATAATATTAATATTTACAATTGTTTATATGTAATTTTAATATATAATTATTTACAAATTATAAATACATATATAGTATATTAAGTATAAAACTTGTTCAAGCCAGGTGCCGGTAGCGCACACCTATAATCCTAGCTACTCAGGAAGCTGAGATCTGAGGATCACGTTTCAAAGCCAGCCCGGGCAGGAAAGTCCGTGAGACTCTTATCGTCAATAAAATACTAGAAAACTGGAAGTTGCACTGTGGCTCAAGCGGTAGAGCGCTCGCCTTGAGCTGAAGAGTACAAGGACAGTGCCCAAGCCCAGAGTTCAAGCCCCATGATCGATAAAAAAAAAACCCCAAAACTTGTTCAGTGTACTATACATAAATGTATATGATATATATAAAATTGGTTAAAAATATATATACTAGATAGACTATACATAATATATATAAAATATCATAAATGTGTATGTGCGTGTGCGCATGTGCTGGCCCTGGGGCTTGAACTTAGGGCCTGAACATGGTTCGTGAGCTTTTTTTAAGTTCAAGATTAGTGCTCTACCACTTGAGCCACATCTCCAGTTCCAGAACTTTTAGTAGTCACTTGGAAATAAGATTCTCCTAGGCTTTCCTGTCTGATCTGGCTTCAAATTGTGAGCCTCAGATTTCAGCCTCCTGAACAGCTAGGATTATTGGCATGGGCCATCTGTACCTTGTACAAGTTGACATTTTTAGGCCTCTAGTTTGTACTAGTCATAATAACAAGAATCAGGTGAGAGCAGGTATCAGGGAAGGACTAA